TGTTTTCCTTTTCCCACACTTTCATCGATGTTATTCATTATTCTATTTTCTATTTTTTTATTTTCTATTTTTTTGCAGAAGTTGTTGAAGTTCATTTATTTGTTTAAGCAGGTTGATTAATTGGCAGCTGTAATAGCTGATGTGGACCTGCTGTCCTAACCCACCCATCCCACCCCAGGGGAGGACATCCATCACACAGTAATCTCGTGTGTGGGAAATTAACGTCTCCTGCCCCAACCCTGCAGGAGACGGGACCTCCATTTATTCGTCCCTATCCGAGAAGACTAGAATATCTAACCATTTCTTGATGTTATAGAAAGGTAGCAAATTCTTCTCAATTATTTTAAGACCTTGAGTGTTGGTCCGGCCGGGGCTCGAACCCTCGACCTCCCGCACTACAGTCCAGCGCTCTATCCATTGAGCTAACCGGGAGGCGGTTGCTAAATAACGTTGCTAAATGAATAAAACTTGGAAAAATCTTGCTTTTTAAAGTATAAATAAGATTTAAATCAGCGTACTTCCTCATGCTAGTGATACTGATCTTTGGACAAACGTGCCGACAGTCTGCCGACGGATACATCACATTTGCACAGGTTGTTTCACACGCTACCTAGTCTAAATTATTTATTAGATGGGTGTTTGTTATGGCAAAGAGTTTTCGTATATTATACATTCTGAAAAGTAAAACTAACAATTAAAATGCCCAGAAGGTAGATTTGCAACCGAAACCGAAGGTATGAGCAAAACGCAACTTTGTGGTACAGTAGTCACCAAATATCTTGTGCAAACAAATAGACAACAAGCAAAAATCTGCCAGAGTCTACCACTAATTAAATTGATTTCCTAGATAACAAAGAGAAACTAAGGGGGGTCATGGTCCCAGGCGTTCCTTGTGTAAACCGCGGAAACTGGGGATAAGAGTGCGACGAGTTGTGCTATGATGAGCTCGCTCTTCGTAAATAGCGTAATTTACAGACTGCTGTGATTGGTGAAGACCGCTTTGCAAAGATTCCTGTCTTATAAGCACATCCCACATGCAAACGCGCACGCTGTTCGTGGTAGGCCCATGCTAGTTGATGTCGAGTGTTTTAGGAATGGGCTAGTCGACGAACTTCATTGCTTGAAAGCTAGCCAAATGTGGAAAGTCCATATATACTAGTTCTCACGAGATAACAAATGAGCCATATGTGGAATCAAACTACGAAAATACTGGCAAAACTGTGACAGCCAATTTAACAGCAAACTATGATGCTGAGACGAACACCTCACTTGCTGAAAAAATAAAGAATGTCCGTGAACACAACTTCGAAGGGGCCCTAACAGCGAATTGGATAAGGATACTGACAGAAGCAACTTCAAAAGTAAGCTTAAATATATAAACTTAGCTCTTTCGTTAAATATCCTGTTTCTGGTTTTTATTAGGTTCAATACTTGTAAAGTATGATTTGGCATTGTAATGTATTAGGCCGCTAAGTATGCTAGGATAGGAGAAAACCATGTGCTTTCGATAGTGGCGGCCAAGTTACGTTTGCAATGAAACTAGTTGAGTTAAATCTGTTTGTTTGGATACTTTATTGCTCTTGGGATCATTACAGGTATTTTTTACGTAATGATTGGTTCATACGTCAGCGTGAGTTCATCGAGATATGGAGAACGCGGGAAGTTTGGAGAGCACGAAAGATGCGTGCGTGCGCGCGCGCGCGCGCGTGTGTGTGTGTGTGTGTGTGTGAGTGAGTGAGTGATTGAGTGAGAGAGCCTATACAGAGTCTGTTTAGGTAGCCCACCTAGAATACCTTTGCTAACTGCAGGCCACAAAGGCCTTTATTTCTTTAATTTTAAAAAATAAAGTTAATGTTGTTGTTGTTGTTGTTGTTATAAAGGGCAGAAATTCCCTCTCCTACGCTTCAATGCGTTTTTTATTTGTTTTGTTTCAGAAAAGTATCATTTCACTATGTTTCAATGACCTTGTCTCAGACTGGTCAAAAATTGACAGGTGAATTCTTGCGTGGAAATGAAGTTAAGAGTTGCGAAACGAGATAAAACCGGCATTGATTGTTTTGTTTTCCCTTTCTCTGGGTTCTTTCTTGGGAGTTAAAAAATCCCCTACCAAAGAAGACGAGGCAGATATTCATCAGCTTGTTTACTCGTTGCCATGTCTAGTTCAACTTTTTTTGCAGAAGTTTTTCCCGTTTTTTAAATAAAAAATGCTGAAGTCACTCGTGAGAAGAAAATTTTTTCTCAAGACATTTGTTTGCTGATGTCACCAGCGTTCACAATGGAAAATTGAAGCACGCTCACGCTATTGAATTTGATTGCACGAGTTTACAAGCTATGTTATAATAACAATTGGTTCGTGTATTAGCATGCGTTTATTGAGACTTGAAGCACATGGGATGTTTGGAGAGCACGAAAGATGCCTAAGTGCTCTCCAAACTTCCCAAGTGCTTCAAGTCTCGATGAATGCACAGCTAACACATCAAAAAATTGTTTTATAACACTTTCAACACTGTGGTTTATGTATAAAGGGCGTTGTTTATTTTGTTTCGGAAAAGTACTTCGTTATGCTTCAATGATCTTGTCTCAGATTGGTCCAAAACTGACAGGTGAATTCATGCTTGATAAAGAAGTTAGAGTTGCGAAACGAGATGAAACCAGCGTGGATTGTTGTCTTTCTCGGGAGTTAAAAAAGCCATTCCCTGAGAAAAAGAAGGCAGATCTTCATCAGATTGTTCACATTTTGTCATGTCTAGTTTAACATTTTTGCGGAAGTTTTTTCCTTTTTTTAATGAAAAATGCCGAAATCACTCACGGGAAAAAATTTTTTTCGCGAGGCATTTCTTTGCTGATGTCATCAATTGAGCTAACCAGGAGGCGGTTGAACATTATGGAGAATATACATACTGATGTTAGGGTGTAAAGGGTTCAGCTAGAGTCTCGCCAAATTTTCCCAACTCTATATGGCCCACAGCTCTGTGGTGTAATCTTTTGATAATAAAGACCTTTTAATTACCAAATCTGTTGAAGCAAGTTAGAGCTGGATACGAGCCTCTTGACTTTATTTCAGTTCATCTAAATCCAAGGACAAAGAATAAAAGGAAAAATGGCTTGTTGAATGATCCATTTGGATGGGAAGCATCTGAACTTCCGTCAGAATACTGTAAACTTGTCTTAAGAGACTTGAAAAAGTAATTTTGGGATCCTTGTGTTCTGATTATACTCAAGAAGCAGACATCAACCCCATGCTTTTGTCATTATATTATTTCCTTTTGGAATCAGTACATTCTTCCTTAGTTTGCAGCTTATAGAACTTGTTCACATTTTCTTCCTATATACATACATTTTCTGTCTCCCATATAATAAACATAGTAAATCTCACATTTCTAAGACTTGAGACTGAAAGCCAAAAATGTACTAAATTGTACAGTATAAGGGGAACTGTTTTTCGTAAGTTTATTATTACCATTTTATTTTCAGATTCACTGGCTGTCAATTATCAACTCTGTGGTGCTGGTCTTCCTGTTGATAGGATTTGTATTTATCATTCTGGTAAGCTAAAAACTACTTTGAATTTCTTAGGTTTGCAAGTAGATAATGTAAATGGTAAGCAAGCTGTAACCGCATGAATCGCCATAGTGACTAGGGAGAAGATGTGGTGCTGGGTTTGCAACCTACAGGTTTCTGGATCAAGCAGCAAGTTGATGGGCTATTAGTATGATCATCTTTGAGATATTTTTCATTGAATTGCTCATCGTTCTCATTAGATGAGAGTGCTCAAGACTGATTTTGCAAAATATAACGTATCCGATGATGAAGAAATGGATGACATACATGAGTTATCACAAATCTACCTCTATCTGGTATCCCTGTTTAAAAACATCTTGTGACACTGCTGCTCGGTTTCACTTGAGACCGTGTTTAATTGGATCCTTGGCTTGCATACCTGGTCTCGGATTGTTGTACAACATGGACAGCAAATGGTGCTTTTGTGTGAAAATCTCCATGCAGTTATTCCTTACTGACTGTGTGTGAATTGTACAGGACACCAACAAGTAGACATCTACAAATTTAAAGTAACATAGGGCGATGGAATTTCTACCTCTTTAACTGCAAAGATCCAATTAATGATTCTCCTTTGCTGCTGCTGTTTATTTGTCTCTGAATTGTAGTTTGGATAATTTGGTGCTACATCAGTATACATTGTAATACTCTCTAGCTGATGACGTTTTTTATTCCCATCACCTGTTAGCTGGGTTACCCATGAATGGTGTATGGATAATTTGCATGTTGACAACCCCTTGGAGTTACTACTTCTAACCCATGTTGAAATGTATTGGATTACATTATTCCATCACAGATCATGATGAAGTGGGTTGGAAGATCTATCTTGCAGACGTTTTTTGTTTTCCACCATACAAAAGCTGGCTTTGTGCTATCCTCGGTGAGTTATGATTTTTGATCCTCTCTCTGAACAAAATAACTGGAGAACTTTATCATCAAGGTTAAATGACTGGTCACCAACTGACCAATCAGCTTTTGCAGATGATTGAAAATGACTCTTCAATCGACTCTCAGGATGAGGGTTCTTGAGATGACATAAACAACAGTAGGTCAAAGCAATTATAAATCAGTTTGAGTTGTATTTTCTTTGGTTGGAAACATTGGCTGTGAATTGAAACCCAAACACATGAGCCTGTTCGCAGAACCTCTTTGTGACTGTCTAGGTGGTGGCTCTCAATTCATCATGCCGAGTGTCTTAAATCCTGATGATAGCCTTCTTGGGCATGTTTAATATACATGGGTAGGGTCATGTACTTCACTAGGGTACTTAATAAAACATATCTGTTGCTTCATAGGTGAAGGATCTCAGTTTCTCACTCTTTGCTTTGGTATCATATTCTTGGCTTTCCTGGGTTTATTTAATGTTCACAGGTAAGAATGAAGTTGCTTTGCCTTTACTTTGCTACACTCTGTGATTGATTGAGAAATTCTTGCCACCCTCTAAGGAAATCAAATACAAAATCTAAAACCAATTGTGAACTGGTTACCAGTAATTGTAATTACACACTCAAGGGGGCTCACCTGTTGTTCCTTTAAGTTCTTACTCATTCTTGTTATTTTCTCTGCTGACACTGTATAAACATGCTTTCTTAAATGCTAAAAATGATAAAATCAGAC